GTTAAATCTGTGGAAAGAGGGTGGACACTTCCAAGAGGGGGATGTTTCACCTCTTCTCCAGTATCGCTTCAAGAACTCAGCACTCCCTGCTCTCCTGCCTTGCTTCCTAAGGAAATAAAGCTTACATGTGCATGCACATAGACGCGCGAAGACACTCTGTCTGTCTATCCCCAGAACAACTTCAGAGCCTCTTGGCCATCACCAGCCAACGTGACAGCAGACTTTATGTTCCTCTAACTCTCAAGAAACCAATGCCTGAGTGATGGTGGGAAATGCTGCCAGTGGCTCCATTAACGGAGAGACTGCAGCGTGGGCTCAGCACTCTCACTAGACACTGGGTAACCCTTACCAACAACCCACCCAGTGGGAAAAGGTCCTGAGATATCACAGAGCCTAACTACAAGGCAGAGCTCAGGAGAAAGCAGACTTTGGTAGTTCTGCTGCTCCTTCAACAACCTGTTCCCAGAAATGTCATTAAAACTGCTCAACTGAACTTTCATCTGCTGGCAGCTAACTCTACCTGGTCCCCTCACGTCCTCTTACCAGGATGAAGTCCGTCTGATAGGTGGAGAGCATGAACACTGAGATGTTTTGGTCAGCTAGTGGTGCTATTACTGACTTGGCAATTTTGGTCACTCCAATGGGCTGGGAGCCGGAGAAGCCACCTCCACCAGACACCACGTTGAGGGCAAGCCATGTCGCATCGGCCACGCTTAAGTGTTCCGAGGAGGGGAGCTCTGCAAAGAGACAGAGGAGGAGCACAGAGGTTTGTTTCAGAGGCAGAGAGAGCCAGGTTCACCATCTGGTCCATACGTGGTCGGCACAGATCTCAGTGCGAGGAATGAGATGAGCCCACTTATCCAGTTCACCTCCCGGGCTTCCCATGCTGCTCCACAGATCGGTGCTGTGCCGGCTGCATCAAGTTCCCCTACAGGATTCATACAGATTTTCAAGGACAACACAGGGAGCTGCATGAGCCTCAGCAATTCGCTCAGATGCTGGTGACCAGCACCACTGACTTCCCCACGTGGAAGCAGCCTGAGATCTTTGACTTAACTCAAATCTCTTCTATTGCACTATTTCTCCAAATACTTGGAACTTTTCTGGTCTCTTTTGCTTCCTTTTTCCTGCCCTCCTGGGCTTGAGAAGAAGGGTGACAGCACAGCTCAGGCATTAATCCACTCTGAAGATGTGGAGCAGGTCCCCTACGTACACTGGAGATTATGAGGCAATCTTTTTAAGAACAACACCAGTTCCATTTCATCTGCTTCCAGTCTACCGACATTAAGTAGCTAAAAATCTGCAGCTAAACCATTTAGTACAAATTACTAACTAATGCATTAACAGCCCACAAAACCGGACACGGACTCTGGAATGAAGGCGCAAACTTCTCTGAGATTCCCTGGACTTTGGATTTTGGTTTGGCAAATTATAGAAACAAACAGTTCACATCCAGGCTTACAAATGCACAACCCCAGTGGAATCTACTTGGTGTAAGGAACCCGACCTCGGATGCAGATCCAGCCAGTGGGGACAGAGCCGAGGTCCCAGCAGACACCTACACACTTTGCTCAGAGGTGTGAAACCACGAAGCCCAGCACTGCTGCTCTTGCAGTCAGCATCCTGACTCCGCAGGTGAGGCACTTCATGCCTCCATATCCACGGTTCCCCGTGTCCACCTACACCCAGCTCCTCCAAACACTGTCCTTCCCTTCTCCTTCAGCGAGATCTCTGGGAGCTGTTTCTGTACAGCCCCAGACACCATGTAATAAATTCATAACCTCCCACCCCCCGAATCCCCAGGCACCACTGCTGTGAGACGACAACAGTGCTGAAAACCCAAAATGAACTGAATAACAAATACTGTTCATTTTGCTCTCCTCAATAACCTCAATTGTGTGTGGCATAAAAATAACCCTGAGCAAACACATTGCAAACAGTGGGGACACTGAGGGTTCTGCTGCTGCATTTTGATGTTTAGCTTCATAGGCCAATGTTTCTTTTTTACTGAATAATCAGAGCTGACATGGAATGAAAACTAGACACCAGGGAGAGTGGGTAAGTTTGTGCATTAATCAACAGCATGTTACCTCAGAGAGACCAGTGCAACTTGCTTGCAGAAAATTATTGCAGCAAAATACCATTTTCTAATCAGACAGCCCTTTGAATCAGAAAAGCACCCCCAAAACAAAGCTTACTACATCAATTGGCATGGAGAAGCGAAGGCTCAAAACAACTGCTGCTGATCTAATAAGCAGCTGACGTCTTTTTTTCCTTCATTCCCACTTCTGCTCCTTGCCTGTGAAATAAATAAGAAGGGAAAAAAAAAAAAAAAGAAAAAAAAAGATGTATTCCTTCTTTGGACATCTATTTGCTCCCTGGCAGCACGGAGCGGGCAGGCGCAGGCGAGGCCACCTGCACGTCATTGGTATTTACACTTCCATTTCCTGCATCCCAAAGCCATTAAAGCAGCCAGGCACCTAAATCACAGAAAGGTCAAGTGACACCTTTCCTCTCTGCAAACTCATCCCCCAAAGCCTCCAGCAGCGCAGCTGCCCTGGTACCCACGCAGGATGCCTGGGCAGCTCGGTGTGCTCCAGGGTCCTGCGCTCACACCGACCTGTCCCACCTGCTGCTGGCACGTCCCAGATCATAGAATAGACTGGTCTAGGTTGGAAGGGACCTCAGAGATCATTTAATCCAACCTCCCTGCCATGGGCAGGGACGCCACCTCTCAAATAGATCAGGCAACACATGGGGATGGAGCAGGAATCGAACCTGTGACCTCGGTGTTGTCGTCAGCACCGCGCTCAACCCACTGAGCTAACTGGCCCCCAACTAACGACTCACTATCAGCAGCAAGAAGAGCTCACAACTCATTTCCCTCTCTATAAACAGGGTAGACAATGTTCCTGCTTTGGATGGGTGACGTGGGCCTGGCTCAAGTTCATTAAACAGCACTTTAAATGCTGTTTTAGGTCAGGGATGCAATGGAAGATGCGATATTTCACGGTGGACGGAGCCATTCTCACATTTCACTCCGGCAGCAGAGGTGCTGGAGAGGCTGCCCCAAGAAGACCTCATCAACCTCTTCCTCAGGGGGCAGGAGGGTTGATCACTGAGTCATTTGTAATTACTGGAAAGCGTTGATCGTGTCTGGTTTTCTGTGTTTAAGAGGCACTAGGAAGTGTGACAGAGGCCATTGCATTCGCTTAAGTAACCTGCTTCTCATAACTCAATTAACTTTGCAAAAAATACATAGAAAGTGACTGAAATACCAATTTTGGACACTGTTTCCACTAGGCAGCCAGATGGAAAAGTACAGCCCAAATTTTAATGAAACCAACCCAGGCTAGAGGCTCAACAAATTCATCTAAATAGCATCAAATAGGCCACGTAGGAAGGTGCTTTGCCCAGGAAGCTGTTAAATGCAGTAAACCCAAGGAGAGCACAAAATGTAACATTAACATAGACTCAGTGAGGCAGAATAAGGTAATAAAGAGCAAAAACGGGGGCTGTTCATGTTTCAGCTCCAACTCACCAAACCCACTGACGCCATCCCTTCTCCCACAGGAGAACAGAGTTCCTGCCACAGCTTCAGCACCGCAGCAGCCCCGTCCCCGCACCATGAGGTCGGTGCAGAAATCTCTCCTTTGGGCTCTCAAGGTCCTCTTGCAACTGGTTTATGAGACTGTGGGTCAGTCCCGCTTCTGATCAGAGAGAACATCTCACTTTTGGCTGAGAAGGACCTCTAAGAGGTCAGAGACTTTGTTTATTGTCATCAGGGTCTTTGTTTTAAATCTGGACTGGGGCGAAGCCTTTAGATTCGTGTGGTTTTGCCGGGTAACACCACAACCCTGGTGCCAGGTTAGGCTCTGTAACCATCAGCTGCCGCCCATCATCGCAACCACACTGGCAAGCAGAGGAGGCTCACAGACTCCAGTTGTCACTTCACCCATAGCAGGTGGCGTGGAACCCCACTGCCCTACGCCAGACGAGGTCACCCCGGCAGCCCCCGGCTCACGTAGGGCTCTGCCTGGCAGCGCAGTGCCAGTGGGCTCCAGTAGCTCATGGTCCTGCTCTCGGCTGGCACAGCACTCTTCTCTGGAAATGCCAGTCCCTGCTCAACCCAAACCCAACAAACACGTGTCAAACAAAGTTTCGAGCATGAGTTAAACTGCTTATTCACACCATGGGTGATTTCGAAGGGCAGAGGTCTGCATGGGGTCTCATTGGCCCACTCAGCCAGCTGGGCTGAAGCAAAGCAGCCTCCGTGTCATGTGTCATCCCGGGACGCGAGGCGGTGGTGAGTATCATATCGGCCATAATTGGCTCCGGAGCTCAAATAATCGATACCTTTTCCAGTGAGGACAACAAACATTGGCCGAAGCCCAAATAAGGATTGAATTGCTGCCGCCGGAGCGCTATGAAGTGCTGTAAGTACTGCGAGCTGGCGCTCCACGCAGCACTCTTAAAATACCTTTGGGAGGATGCCGGCCAGATGATGAGCTTCCAGCTCACGGGTCTCTGCGAGCAGCCAAGGCACTCATGGAAAGTGGAGAAGGAAAATCTCCTGGTTTACAGCCCTAGCCAAAGAGTCAGCCCCACAGCGTGGGTCTGCGCAACGGTGGGGAAGGAGCAACAAATCTCTGCCTTCGTTTTCCACCCCAGCACCCCTCAGTCTCACGCACGCCGGAGAGCGGGAGGCAAAGCAATGGGAGGGAGGCCTCTCCTTAGGGAAAGCAAAAAAAAAAAAAAAAGGGCAACAAAGCTGGCGAAAGGGCTGGAAAGCACGCCCTATGAAGAGCGGCTGAGGGAGCTGGGTTTGTTTAGTCTAGAGAAGAGGAGACTGAGAGGAGACCTTATTGCCCTCCACAACTACCTAAAAAGAGGTTGTAGCGAGGCTGGTGTTGGTCTCTTCTCTCAAATTAATAATGATAGGACGAGGGGGAATGGCCTCAGGTTGCGCCAGGGGAGGTTTAGATTAGATATTAGGAAGAAATTCTTCACTGAGAGGGTAGTTAGGCACGGGAACAGGCTGCCCAGGGAGGTGGTGGAGTCGCCATCCCTGGAGGCGTTTAGAGAACGAACGGATGTGGCGCTTGAGGATATGGTGTAGTGGTTAGAGAAATGCTGGGAAAAAGGTTGGACTTGATGACCTTGGAGGTCCTTTCCAACCATAGTGATTCTGTGATTCTGTGAAAATGTGCAAAATGCTCTGAGAACACGCAAAGCTGCCAGAACTTCTTCCCTTCCTTCCTGTACCTGACTTAAATGGTTCAGATTTCTCGTGAAATGGTCAGTTAAGGAGGGGGATAACTGGAAAACACACAGTTCCCTCAGCAGAAATGCACTTCACCTCCCCACACCGGTGTCTGGATGGGTGCTGGGCAAAGCCCTGCCGGCCAGGGGTTTGCTCCCTTCCTCCAAAGGGACACCCTGTGAGCTCTTTTCTGTGGACCTCGTTCCAATTTCACAGCCATCAGTCACCCACTTGAGCACACCTACGAGCTTTCAAGTGAAACCATAGATACTCGATGGATTTACTGTAGTGCTTGGGGAGAAATGAAGGCGCTCAGCTGGTTTGATTCTTTGGTGTGGTAGGTTGGACCATCTCCTAAGCGCTTATCTTCATTCAGGACACAAGTTTTTACGTTATAGCAGAGTACTTTGAGTGAAGTGCTACTCCTTGATTTGTTCCGGTACTCCAGATGAACCAGCCACTCATTCAATATTT